GCTCGGCCAAACACTAACATATGTGTAAGCGCCAATCTATTATTATTTTGAAGGAGTGGATGAAAATAAATTAACAAATGTATTGTGTATTCCTTTTGCCTGGGTTATAATGAACGGGGCGGAACGTAACAATTCGTAAGGATCTATTGATTTTAGATCTCCCATACGTTACGTTTCGCCCAGACCATTATAACCATTCGCATTGATTTCACATACAATAAATAGTTAAGTGACTGTTCACTCCGTCCTGTTACTACCATTATATCCCAGGTAGTTATGTTCATTTCTTTAAAAAAATACTTGCGAACGAATGTTTTAATCACTTAGCAGGTAGCCTCGTAGTTATTGGTAAAATCTTCGCTTGAATGCGGGTTTTCTAGCAGCAGTATGAGTTTTTACCTACTCAAACATGTATTTTATGTATAAAGGATACGTGAACCATTTAAAATATTCTCAGTATTTATGTATAATTCACTTAAAATCTGCAGAGTGTATAAGCGGAATGAAAAACTGTGTCAACGAGAAAAATTTCGTGTACGTTTTTAAAGTAGTGACGTGTTTTTAAAAATTTTAAATTTTGGAAATTGGCCATAAACAATAAAAACATCACAGGCCTGAAAACACCCAACTGCCGAGAAAGCTCCAGGACAATCTTACCACAACTTCTGAGCCAACAAGATAACGGAAGACCCCCATTCGGCAAATCATCGAACAAATAGTTGGAAGCAGAGGTGCAACGAGCGGAGAAACTCTTCATAAGGAAAAATATTTTTAGCTATTTAAGCAATTTAATTTACGTAAGTTTTTATATCTTTTATACTCAACACAGATAAAGTATAATGCCTAGATTAAGACAAAAATCTATGTTATTAAGACGCATCCAAAATAGAAGGCAGATGCAATCTTTTCGGGAAGATAATATACATAGATCAAATGAACAATCCCGAAACACAGCAAATCGGTCTAGACGTCGGTTAGATCCGGAAGTTCGCTCTTCTGAGCAAAGTTTAAATACACTTCAACGCAGATATCGTCGAGAAAGCTCTCAAGTTCTGTCAGAAGAGCAACAGAGAAATACCCGAGAGCATATATCTCGACGCGAGAAATCTCAATATCGCGCTATTGAGCAAAGTAGAGATACTCACCAACGTAGGTCTCGCCGGGAAAATCCCCGAATTCGCTCAGCCTAGCAAGACAGAAATACCCGAGAGCATATCTCTCGACGCGAGAACCCT